GGTTAGTGCTCGTCCCGGGCCGGGATACAGAGCCCAGGCGTGCTAAGTCCTAGGGCCCGAGCCCTTCTGCAACCCCGGCGTGTGGCCGCGGTGCTGGTGTGCGCAGCCCCGCCACTCGCAGCAAAGTGACAGACAGAACTGAGCCAGACGGTGACCTCTGTCCGGGTTTCAGTGGCAGGAACGGCTTCAGGGAGTGGGTGCAGCATTTCATGACGTCATCTGATAACCGTCCCCCCGTTTCCCCCCATTGTTCCATTCTCAGGCTGAAAGCAATCGGAAGCATTTCTTGTTGGCACCATGATGTCCAGAGGAAGAGAACTGACCAAGTGACTTTCTGGAGTGGGGAGCATTTCCCGGAAGCCTTGTCCCTCAGCGCATTTCCCCTCCTGTTCCACGTTAACCAGAATTAGTGCGTTCTCCGGAGGCTCTGAGTGGGGGTGAGGCCAGCCAGACGCCTAAGCACAAAAGTTGAGGACGGGCACACTCTTAGGTGCAACCCTACATTTTCACCACCCTGACAATCAGAGCCCCCTTAAATTTTGCACCCTAGGTGCCTAGCTTGTATTTTAAAATAACACCTTTATTAAGATACGATTCACATGCCATAATATTTGTCCTTCTAAAGCACACCATTCAGTGTTTCTTAGTGTACTTACAAAGCTGTGCAACTGTCACCAGCATGTAACTCCAGAACATTTTCATCACTTCAAAAAGAAATGTGATACCCATTAGCAACTATTCTCTGTTCCCTTGGCCCCTCCCAGTCACTGGGGACCGCTCATCCATTTTGTTCCCTTGGATTTTCCTTCTGTGAACGTTTCATGTAAATTGAGTCATGGGATATGATTTGCGACTGCCACCTTCTGCTTGGCACGTTTTCGAGGTTCATTCTTGATGGTCCAAAGTAGCATTTATCAGTACTTCATTTCTTTTTATGACTAAATAATATCCATAATAATGTTGTATGTATATCCTTTTTAATCCATTCATCAATTGATGGACATTTGGGTTATTTTTGTCGTTTTTATATTATGAATAATGCTGCTATGAACATTCATGTGCAAATTTATGTGTAGACATATGTCTTTTGGATTTATCTTGAGTATATACCTAGGAGTGGAGTTGCCAGGTCATATGGTAACTCTGTATTTAACTTTTTTAAGAACTGCCAAACTGTTTGGCAAAGCTACTGAACAATTTTAGATTCCCACCAGCAATGTATGAGGGTTTCAGTTTCTCCACATCTATTGTCTATCTTTTCTGATTTTAGCCCTTCTGCTGGGTGTGAAGTCATACCTCACTATGGTTTTAAGTTGTAGTTCCCGGATGACTAACGATGTTGAGCATCTTTCCATGTGCTTCTTGGCTCTTTACACGTCTCCCTCTGGGAAATGCCTATTCAAATGCTTTTGCCCATTTTTGATTGGGTTGTCTTTTTGTTGTTCAGCTGTATAACACCAGGTGTTTAATAGCCTGAGTATATTTTCCCAAGCAATTTGGTAACCACCCCTGGCAGTTGGCTTACTTAGCTTCCACCTCATGTCCTTTCTGGTGTGTCTTCTATGGAGGTTGAAAAGCTAAAAACTTTCCAGATTATTTGGTAGCTGGCTGTACATGTGATTGGATTCTGTCAAACTGATTCACCTCTGCAAAACTCAGAAAGTGGAAATTAAATGACAGTTGTGGGGGAAAATATGACACCCTTGGTGCCTTACTCTTAAGGAGACACGCACACTCATAAGGTGCCACCCACGCAGGGGTGAGAATAGTGCCTGCCTGCCTGTTCCCTTCAGCCAGATTGGAAAACCTTATAATTCTCAGAGTATTGGATAGAGTACCTGAAGTTATCTTGCCTCAGTCTGGGGAATAATTAGCCCTCAACTAGGCTCAGCTCTGGTCCTGCCTGAACCTTGGAAATAAGACCTGAGAAGATAGTTACCTGCTTCCCTGAACAATGCCCAAGAATAGTTATAGAAATGCAGAAATATCCAGCATCTGACAAAGGAAAATTCACAATGACAATGACTGGCAGTCAAAGATTACCAGCCATGCAAAGAAGCAGGAAAGGATGACC